GACTGGCGTAATAAGATACGACGTAGCGATCGGGAATCCTGAACAGTTTTAATATTTTTACGATTGACATTTGTCAATATATATGATGGACATATATTTTAGTTATTTTAAAGTGAAGACAAGGCATACAATGTACTAGTTTGACGTGAATTGAGTAGCACCTGAAGATGGCATTTTTATGCCGAAACATGTAGTGAGAGTGAGAGAAGAAGATAGATAAGTGTACGCACTGCAAGACGGATTAAACAAATCATGAACAATCAAAACATATTACAGTCTTTTCAACAACATTAATATTTTAATAAATAAATTATTTTAGGCCAAAATTATGATAGTAAAGACAATACCTACTTTTATTTTAATAGGTCAATGTTCACTCTTCATGACCATAGCAACAGAAGAGGGACATTAAGAAGAAGAAAGAAAAGGTCACCTATTACAGATCACTATACACAGAAAGATAACCATTTTAATTTATAATGTTCCAAAATATTTCTGCATTTTGGGGAAGACCTCATGCTGAAGTTGGTAGGTTTGCCTATAGAATATGATGTGCTATTTTAACAAGTTGGGAGAGCTGAAACATGGAAGCATCACCTGCATGCTTGAGCTTTGGCACTCAGCCAGCCTGTCTTAACATCTTGACACAAATATTTCTCATACTTAACCAGACTCAATAGAGAAGAATGCGTTTCTCAACCTGCTTGCGACAGATGGGACACTCTGACATGCGGTCCCCACACATCTGGCATGTACCATGTCCACAGAGGAAGATCATGTTCTTCAGACGGTCCAAACAAACAGGACACATGGTCTGCTCCTTGATGTCCTGCAACTGTTGCTGTAACTTCTGTATGTCAGAGTTGGATGTGTCTCGGCTTCCGTTGTTCATCAGGCACACAGGTTCTACAGGAACACCACCTGTCAAAGAGCCAAGGAAACATTACCTTCAAACTTTTGGATGTAATGTACATCTTTGTTTGTCAAAGGAAAAGAACTGTTTCCGTTCATTTCATTTAAATTAAAAGACATTATGAACATAATTCTCGACACATTTTATTGTTAACTAAAACATGGTGAATTTTATATCTATTGTATGCGTAAAAGAGTTCACATTTAAATGCACCAAATAAAAATATTTTTTTTGTCTACAATGATTTCAGTGTTGATTGAGACCCAGTGTACACAATTGTGTACCAAGTATATTTTGAAAACGGGTACATATATTTTTATAAATCTTGCTTCTAAAATCATTAAAAAATCACCTAAGAGCATTAGAGCATAAAAAAAAATTTTCCTTCCTCCAGAAAAAATTCAGGTCTGAAGGGGTTAATTCCTGGTACTCATCTCTGTTAGAGACTGAGTAAACCCTAGGGCCTAGTGTGGCTGGAAGGATTAGGTCAACTGAAAAAAAATCCAATGACCTCATTAGGACTTGAACCCACGACCTTCTAGCTTGTAGCACAGCCCCTCAGCCAACTACGCTACCATGTGTCCCCTACTGGCATCAATACTTCAGAGTATAATGGCAGAACACCTTTGACCTCCAGTTCTCAGGGATTCTTTCCAAATGTTCTAGTAATTTATTTTCATACTTACTTATTATTACATGGGGGACAAAGTTACTCTGGTCCGTGACATTCTTTAAGTCATACATGTCCCCTGGGTAGTGCAAAATGAGCAACAAACCTGGCAAAGCTTCCAAAAAGAAAAAGTGCTCTCTACTGGGAAGCAAGAAGCAAAATGGGTTAAATGGTCTCAAATGCAGCCATTGGAAACCAACCAACCAACTTATTATTACATTTGTACATCGTTCTCAGTTCTTCTCTACTATCTTCACTATGTTCTTCTGACTGAGGAGGTTTGAGAACAGGAGGTTGGAGAAAACTGCATAATGAGGAGCTTCATAACTTGTACTCTTCTCCAAGTATAATTAGAATGCTCAAGTCAAGGAGGATGAGGTGGGTGGGGCATGTAGCACGAATGGGGGAGACAAGGAATGCGTATAGGATATTGGTGGGAAAGTCATAAGGAAAGATACCACCGGGAACAGCAAGGCGTAGGTGGTTGGACAAAATTGAAATGGATCTTAGAGAGATAGGATGGTATGGCATGGATTGGATTGATCTGGCTTTGGATAGGGACCAGTGGAGGGCTCTTGTGAACACAGTACTGAACCTTCAGGTTCCATAAAATGCTGGGAAATTCTTGAGTAGCTGCAGAATTGGCGGTTCTTCAAGAAGGGCCCAGCTCCATGAGTAAGTGAGTTCACTATTGTTCTTGCCATTCTATGTACATTCTGCAACTGCTCTGAGGAGATGCATTTCTGTCATCTCTACCCTTCTCATTCTCTCTTTTATTAACGTCTGACATTCAAACCCATATAAAAGCAAGAATATACGTGTTACTCTGTACAATCCTCTTAAGATCCATCCTGATTTCTCTCTGTAATTTCGGAGAGCATAATTTTTATGTGAATGGGTTTAGTTAGTTAGTTATTAGAGAGGGTGGGTTTCCCCATGCACTTAGACCTGTAGTGGTCCATTGTGTTTCCCTCTATGATTTCTACAAGACTCTATATCCTACCGGTATTGGTGCTTACCATCAGTCCCGCCCAGCCAGCGAGACCGGCTCTACTGGCTGAGAAGTATCTATAATGCTTCCCCCATCTACCGGAGGTATTAGTGACTGCTGTCGGGCGGCAAACGTCCGCAATTTTGCTCAGTGACCTCCTTTGGAGGTATGAGGTTCTTTTACGTGTCGTAAAGCTACGACACGGGACCCACGGCTTAAAGTCCCTCCCGGAGGACTTGTTCCCCGAATTTTTCCGCCCTTAAAAATTCGACAACCTCCGTCGGGTATTTGAACCCGCGTACTACGGGTCATGAGGTGGGAACGTTACCTCTAGACTATGGAGGCCACTATGTGAATGGGTTTCCAGCCAAAAGTACAATCTCTAACCCAGAGTGCCAGAGCTTTTCTGTTTCTGTCTCATTATTTTTTCAGTGTCCCTTTCCTAAATGAACTGTCTTCACTGTGATTAAGAAACTTATGTGACCTTCCAGCCAGCCAATTTGGGTTACATTCATTTTGAAAAATATATTTCAAAGATTATTATCATCACATGACTATGCTTTTTAAACACACAAATATTACAGATAATATTCATAATGTATATATAATTATTATCTATCATCAAGATCAGGATAGGGTCAAGTAGGAAGCTCTTGTGAATATGGCAATGACAAATTAATTTTAAGGCTCTTTGACAATAGTGTGACTCACACTGTTAAGACTTCAATGTTCATAAATTGCTGATGCAAATTCACTGTTTTAAAGCTAGCTGCACTACAGATATTACTAGAAACTTGAAACTTCTGTATTTTGTTAAATCTCTGCCATATCAAGAATTGTTTCAAACAGAACTTGTACATTATAATTACATGTAATAATCTACTTTGAGATTCATCTATAGTAGGTACTGTATTGGATAAATATAAAGTAAAATAAATTTACTTGGCAATATCTCCTGTGCACCAACTGAAATGTGTTAAGCAGCTTATATATGAAACACTGGACAGTGTAGAATGATTATATAGACACTGTGCAACGAACATACACAAACATGACACCATGTCTGCTAGTACAACTTGTGGCTACGAGCACAAAACCACTGTCTTACCTAGGGGTCCGACAATATCTTCTTCATTATCGGCCTGGACATCTGATATGGTTCCAATTCCACCACAACACACCACAAAAGGCACCATGTGATCAATCTGTGCACGACACTGGACACATTTCTTCATAAGCGCAGCACAACCATCACAAGCGCACATGTGTCCGCAAGGTTTGAAAAGCACTGAAGCCTTCTTATCAGAACATACTACACACTCCTCAATCTGAAACAAGAGCCATACCTTTAGTCCCAAGGAAACAAGTTCAAGTAAGTTTTACTGCATCTAAAATTAAATACTCCACATGACATCAATACACAGAAGTGCACAAAACATTCATATTCTTAGAAAATAAACACAAGCATATAAATGTCTCTGAGCCAATAAGATATTCCAATTTAATTTTCACAATCTAAAGATATTACATGTTAAATCTCACAGGCTGACTTCTTGCACTCTTCTGCATTCCTCCAGCTTACTGCCTGCTTGCTGTACTGCTCCAGCCTACTGCTATCCTCTTGTTTGTGTGCTTCTGCCACTACTACTCATTCGCAACTTTAACTCGTAACTCATAACTCATAATTTGTAACTGCCCTGAACGAATTCTGTCACTTACTTATATAGCCGCAGAATGGACATGGACCTATAGTAATCATGTATCACGCTGACCGTTACCCAGCTAGTCTAGTGTTGCACTGGTCGGCTCTACGGAAAACACAGCTTCCTCTACTGTTGCATGTTGGACCGTGTTTACAGAGCTGTTGTCTGGCAACGCGCTGATCAAATTTGTTACAATATATTCATGTGAAGGACTACCAGAATCTGCATTTTCATCAAAATCTAAATTTGTTCTTTCGTTAATTTTATTTTGCTACAATTACAAGAAATGGTTCACATTAAGTACAAAAAATAAACATTAGCAAGGGCTACATTTTATTACTTCTGCAGACAGGATTCAAATTTGCATTGGCCATGCTTTGCCTACCTCTGGTATAGCATTTTACAACAACTAAAGCAGTAAACAAGTACAAACTTATACAGTCCAAAGGGCCATGCCATAGCTCAAGCGGTTAGTTGCTGGCTTCCCACCGTGGCGGCCCGGGTTCGATCCCGGGTGTGGTCAAGTGGGATTTGTGGTGGATAAAGGGGCGCTGGGGCACGTTTTCTCCGAGTACTTCGATTTCCCTTGCCAATCTTCATTCCACTAATTGCTCCACAATCACCCTCGCCTATCAGCTGGGGCTGGTACAATAGACCAGAAGTGGCTGCAGTACAAGGGACTTGGTCCCACCCCAATAGCATTATACAGTCCAATGGGTATGTATCCATCCCTCTGCAGACATAGTTTATTAAAATACAGCTGAAGATGGTGAATCAAATAAGAGCACAAAAAACATTCTAATATTTTTTTATATATATCCATTACCTTAACTCTGCCCACAACTGGCTCTCGGCACACCAGACACTTCTTGACACGAGGGGAACATACAGAGCAGCACGCCACATGCCCACATGGTTTGAACAGTGTGTCACGCTTAATATCAGAGCACACCAAGCACTCATCCAGTGTAACAACATCCTCCTCACCTGGACCGTCTGTTCGCCGTGGTTCAATCAGGTCACTAAAACAAAGATACCTAATTGAGTTAACCACTGTTTCTTAACTTGAAACATCCAGGATTCTATATGTTGTACTCTTCAGTTGAACTGATCACTTTAGTACCTGGGTCATAACAACAGCAATTTCTTCCATAGCTCTGGAAAAATTATCAATTCTCCCTGCTCAGTAACTCGTCAAACTGAATAAACTCTAAAGTAAAGAAAAATGAAACATTATGGAAGGTAAAAGGTTCAAGAGGGGGAATTGCTTAGGACAACAGCCTCAAAAGTAAGATCTGAGTGTTACGTCAAAACAAAATGTTAAGAAACTTAAAACAAAACAAACTCAGTGGCCTGTAGTCCACAAGTGAACTATACCGACCGAGTGACCGCTGCTTGTCGCCAAAGTTAGTGCCAAATTTTGTGGATAGTGTGCGTCATGTGGTCAGCACAACAGATCCCCACGGTTGTTAATTTCAGTTTTCTAGACTGAAGCTGCTATTTCCTTGAAATAGTTCCTCAATTATCCTCACTAGGCTGAGTGGACCCCATTCCAGACCCACTATTTCTCAGAAAATCTGGTAGCACTGCGAATCGGATCCAAGACCTCTGGATCTGTAGCCAGGAACTCTGACCACTAGACCACAGGGGGTGTTAAGAAGCTTATCTATTCATTTATATATTTGTTTTAAATCTATAATATTCCTGTTGAAATTTTAATTTGTACTTACTATGGAACAAATGACAGAAAAGACTGTCTTTCAGAGCTGCCTAAATTTCTTTATGGAATATACTGTAACGTGTTTGGAAAAAGACACTTCCATAGTAACGCAAGAACAGTGAGCTGTTGTGTCGAGAGCGTCGAATCTCCATGGTTACAACGAAAACACGGAGCGTTCCCACAGAGACAACGCAATAACAGTGGGTTGTTGCATAGGAATCGCAGAATCAACAAAGCAGCGTTTCCACAGTTATAACAAAGGCTCATTGTATAGCAACCGCTGAGGTATAAATAGCACAACCTCGATAAGAAGAAGCCAGTCTCGGGGCAGATGCCGAGAGATACAGAAGTCAGTCTTCAGGAAGCTGCCACTGAAGATAGTTGGAATCTAGATACAAAGAGCTACAGAATTATTGGCCGAGATATTGTGTAAGCAGCAATTGTAATACTGCAAGTGCTAATGGTTGTAAAGTGTGTAAGTGTGAGTGTCCAATAAAGATTCACTGAATCGAGACCCACGTATATTTATTTGTCACATGACACACCCAACACGTGACAACATTTTCACTCTCAGCTTAATTTTGTACTAGGAGATTGCTAAAAACTGTACATCTATTTTGGGGTTTACTCACGTATCTTTGTCCTTGTGACATTTTGCAAGAGCTTTGCACAGGTTTGGGTCAGGACACAGATCCAGTGGTGTCTGGCCCTTCTTGTTCTTGATGCCAAGATCAGCCCCATTTCCAGCTAAGAAGCAGGCAATTGAGGCTGAAGACTTTTTGTCTGCACCTTGACTGCCAAGTCCCATTAACAGCTGAAATGACACACAGCATCCTTATAATATCTGTACAAACTGTGGAACTGAAAGAGTTGGCCCAAGTGGTAAAATTTCTAACTTGTACTCAGAAGGTGCCTAGTTTGAATCCTAGCCAGTACATTTTCTACCATGACTGATGGTTTTTGTAGTTTTCTTCAGTACCTCCAGACAAATGACTGGACAGCACCTCGAATTATGCAACAAGCGATTCCTTCAACGTCCTTTCCAATGCATTATTCAGTAATATTCCACCATTTCACATCATACAGTCTGAGTTACTGATAGCCCTGTTAAAGAAACCAATAACAAATAAAACACAAATTACGAAGCCCATAATTCTCTAAGTTTGTCTCTTTTCCTTTACTTCCTGTCTGTTAAGTACAAATATTCTCATCAGCACCCTGTAATTTACAGAACATGCATCTTTGCTCTAACTTCTACATTAATTAAAAGATGCGGATGTCATTATGTATGAAAATGTCTTCTGACATCTGTTGTAAGATGTTTCATAAGAGTGTGAATGAATAAAAAACGTGCCCATTATAATTTTCACATCTTTCCAAGCACAGGAATGAGGTCTTGTCATATATTCACAAGAGTAGCCCTGCAAAATTTCTCAAATATTATTCACCATAACTACTGACACAATTTGTCCCTGTGCACTCTATGTGACAAAACAATTGTACCAATACTGCATCAATTTATAACTTGAGCAATAAATACATGTTTTGAAAAATGGTGACAAAAGTATGTTGTATAACGAGTAACGGACAGATAATGAGAAGTGTTCCTCCAGCACAGGACTTTGAATGTCTCATTGTAAAATAAACTAGTACAATGTGAACAGTCACAGCCTCGGCTTGGTCCAAAGGTGGATTTCTGTGAACACAATCAGAAACTTTGGTTTCTATACAAACAAGAAATAACTTGAATAATTAGAAATGTAAGTACAACCTGAGCACTACACAGAAAGCTGGCTGTAGCAGTAATTCTTCCGACTTATATTCAGATGGTGCCTGGTTCAAATCTTAGCCAGGACAGCAACTATCACAAGGTTTTCTCAGTTACTCCAGGTAAATGTCAGGACAGTAACTTCAATTAGACCATGACTGATCGCCTTCATGTCCTTTCCAATCCATCACTGACTATCACCCAGTAATTCAACACTACACAGCCTGGGCCTCAGGCCTTCACTAGATAATTTTCATATATTATATTATAACAGTCCGCATTATGTTGCTTATGTAAGTCAAGCAACAGATACTCTTACATTAGGCTTTCAACTGAAATGAATCTAGGAAAATATAACATCAATTTCTTTCTTTTACATCAAAATTATTACAGGATAGCTTGGTTGGTATAGTGACAGGCTATGAGCTGGATGCCCAGGGTTTGGTTTCCAGCAGAGGCAAGATATTTCCCTTCTGCAACGCACCCAGCCTCCTATTCGATGGGTACTGGGGGCAATTTCCACCTTGACAAAGTAGCCGAGACATGAAGCAGACTGCTCACCTCCATCTAGTGCTGAGGTCAATTAAGGTGAAGCTTTATCTCCACTACCCCACAAGTTTCTTCATGGCTTAGGACATGCTTAGGACAACTTCATCTTTCACTACCTTCATGTCAAAATTATTTCAATGACACAGTGAATGATTAATATCAGCTATCATTACATCAGACCAGCTAACTGGTTCAGGATTAATGTTTAATACCAACAGTAATGCTAGCAATTATCTTCCAAAAGAGAATATTTTCAATACTTAAAAATATTAAGTTACCAACCTTCCCAACATCCTGTACATCTTGCAGCTGCCGTAGCTGTGATAACGTGTGATGTCGCAGTGCTTCATGTAGTGGTGTGTCTCCATCCTTGTCTGGAATATTGAGATTTGACCCCTCACGTACCAGTAGCTGCAAGAAAGCAGACCACTGATAAATACCACTAAAACCTCACAAGTCACACCAAGTTTCATCAAAACTGGTCAGTTAGTTTGGGCAGTGTTACCTATAGACAGACAGAATGGTAAGCACATTGAAACTGGTCCTTTTTTAAATATTACAAAACACAACTTAAAATAAATATCTCATAAAGTTGTACGTATGGGCAGCGCCATAGCCCAAGCGGTTAGTCACTGACTTCCCACCGCGGCATCCAGGGTTCGATCCCAGGTCTGGTCAAGTGGGACTTGTAGTGGACAAGGTGGCGCTGGGGCAGGTTTTCTCCAAGTACTTCGGTTTCCCCTGCCAATCTTCATTCCAACAACTGCTCCACAATCACGCTCACCTATCATCTGGGGCTGGTACAATAGGCCAGAAGTGGACGCAGTACAAGGGACTTAGTCCCACCACACTAGCAAAAAGTTGTATGTATGCATGTAAAGTTGCCTAAACCACCACATCTGCATGTGGGAAGTACGGTAAAAATCCACGCTCTTAATCTTGGCTCATTATACAGATGCCATATCCATTTCACATTGCAGCTGATTTACGAGTTCATACAAATGAACGCCTGGCAACCCACACATTCAATCTCGTGTGGAGAAAATGTTATCATCAAAAATTAGATTACATTATGAAGAGAATGTTCTCCTGGGTTGTAATGCTGTGTGGATTTGAGGAAGCCTGATATTTCAGCAGAACACTGGGCTTTCTCTGAACTACATGGTGTTACAGCTCAGAAGACTGTACATGTCATAGTCATCACTGTCATAACCTAAAATCCAATACATGTTAGGTTAGTTTTAGTTTCAGTTCATTCTCTGATAATCTGACATTTCTAAAACACAAATACTAGAGAACTGACTACTGATTGTGTGTATATATGTAAAATGCCTAAATGAGTCAATGCTACTCACTCGAACTATCTGTGTATGCTGTCGCTCAACTGCTAAGTGAAGTGCAGTCTGAAGGTTTACATTCTGAAGGTCCATGTTGGCCTGTCCCTGGTGCACAAGTAGTTCAGCCACCTCGACATGATTATTGAGGGCTGCCAAGTGGAGTGCTGTGTAACCATCGTCCTTCTTCTCGTCCACAATCCAGGGTCGAGGCAGTTTCATCAGAAGAATCCGCATAGCACTGCAAACAGAAATTGTGAGCAAGCATTTTTATCACAATGCTATTTTTCTTTTAAGTTTCTGAAGGCGATTATATGGAATCTTACACCACACCTGGGACAGTTCTCTGAACAGGTGTGATGCCACTGGATGGTATCAAGCTTTTCTAAGTTAACAGTTCATATTACACGTTTCTTATTCCTCCTCCTCCTCTGGGGTTCATCTCCAGTTATGAAAAGTTTGTTGCCCAAAAAAGAGCGATTGAGATTGAGTCCTAGAGACTCGTGTAGAGAACGTTTTAAGAAGTTGGGTATTTTGACAGTTCCTCGCCTATATATCTATTCTACACTGATATTTGTTGTTAGAAATCACAATTTTTTTCAAACCAACAATAATATTCATCATATAAACACTAGACAGTTTGGTAAGCTACATGTGTCATCAGTGAGATTATCTCCAATCCAGAGAGGCGTGTTATATTCATCCATTATGGTTTATAATAATCTTCCTCAAAATATACAAAGGATGAGTGATAATGTGAAGATTTTTAAACGCACACTGAAAAGTTTCCTCACAACAAATGCTTTTTATTCAATAGATGAATATATTTCTGCTAAGCATGTATAACATTTAATAACTATATTCCTTGTAATTTTGTTTATGAATGACAATGTAAATTATGGTTATTTGGTGCTTTTGGTTGTGTGTGGTTGTTTGCTGTTGACACGATTGTACTTATGCAATCAAGTCTTATTTTGACGAGTTCAATACCCGGTCCAATTCGGACAACGGATCAGTGAATTTATGAATTATGTATGTATGTATGTATGTATGTATGTATGTATACACAGGAAGGTCGATGTTTTCAAGAAATTTTGCATGAAGTGTTTGTCACTGGAGAGCAATGCATCTTGGTACTTTTCATTTCCTGTCATCAATATCAACATGGCAGCTGTGCAGATATGTGAGGCAAGAACAACACTAGTGTTACTGATTGGTCTAGAATAATATTCAGCTTTCGCTGGATAGCTTTTTGGAAACAACAAAAATAACAATAAGGTACTTGCATGAAATAATTCAGTTTAATAAGCTGTAACAGAGATGGGATATGTATGTGGTATGTTATAAATTAGTATGTAACTTTTGCTTTGGTGCATTAAGATGCAGGCCTGGTAATATGGCTTCAGTTTCCCTATATGAGTACCATTACAATCCATATGCCCCAAATAATTGGCCATATAAAATAAAATTATAATACCCCCAAAATTACGACTTTTTGAGTTTACACTACAAGGAAATTATAATCTTATGTGCATTCACAACCTGTGGAGCATCTATTAAAGCTTCGTCTGGCCATCCGTCTATATGTACACACGAAATAATTTGATAACTCTGAACGCATTATCGTGAAACCTTATATTGGAGGGTTTCATTAACATTTGACACATTCGAGTTTTGGTCAAAATCAGATAAAAATCATAAACACTTCGACATGAAAACCTGCACGTATTTCCAAGCATATCTCACTACATATTTATAGCGAAAAAATATGTTTCGAAGGAAAGTTGCAGAGAAAAAAATTTAACACATTTCATGCTCAATATTTTTCCCGCAAAGTATCACGAGTTTCGAGGTAATAAAGCAAATAGGATGCTGTGTATATATTTCCTAACTTGTATATTAAACTGTAAACAACTGTCTTCCGAACACATCCGAATATTAGCGAAGCCTCTTATAACAGTTAAATAAAACTTCATAACATTAACCCGAATTTACAGGTCTTCATGTATATTAATATCTAAGTAATTAAAATATAACTTACTGTGCTGCCCAAGACTTTCATTGTCTACCCAAGTACGTTAATGTATTTGAAAGTAAATGCTTCAACCGGTTCAGCAAGGGGTTACAATTATGAAAAACAAATAAACAAAAAGAGAAAAAGATAGTTCACCACTCCAATGTTATATAACCCTAAACACCGCAGCATCTCATAAATATGACAATGAAATGCCATCCCTAAGATGGATAAAATGGTCAGTTTTTGTGAGGAAAGTTTTCAATCAACGTATTACGCGCTTAACACTGTAAAAATTAACATCAGACTGTCGGGTCGCAAGGACATATGCGACCCTTAAAACTAACTCTGCACGGCCCTGACACAAGGAATGTATAAACAGTTTATAAATCGTAGACGTAATTGAAGTTAACAGTCGTATAGCGTATAAAATAAAGCATACACAACGAACGTTGCGTCAGAACCGTCCTGCTCCTAACACATGCTTAAAATAAAAGCGACGCTCGGCGACGTTTAGCTGTCATATTTTTGTGGAGGTAACGTGATGCTCTGTGACAACACGGAATCGTCTCTGCACGACTTCATTCCGGTGGCCGACTACGGCAGCTCAAAGGAAATGGATGAAAGAAGCCTAAAATTCGTTCCACTTGGCTAGTGGCCATACTAGGGTACTGTGAAGCAAGGAACTGGCTGCAAGCGTAAATCGGAAACGCCCAGCAAAGAGAGATGATGTGTTTTAACAGTGTGTAAGATTAAAGTTATAGTTCTATGGCTGGCGGATGTGTGCTTCTCCTTGCAGTTTCAAAGATGTATCAAAATGTTGTAAGTTTACTGTTAGATCAGAGACCTTTGGAAATGGTTTGGATTGAACTGATATTGCAGTACTTCCATCTTCTTGAATAAGGAACGATTACGTACTCTAGTGCCTAAGCATGTGCCATGAAAGATGGAGCTAGATAAAGCTTCATGCATTCCAGAACTCGTCATTAGATGCTAAGTGCCCAGTTTCACGCTCCGATCGCTTTATCTCCAGGTGTTCATGGGACTGACACCAAAGCCATTCTGCAAAATCCGAGAATGAAAAATTTACACGTGTTACTGATAATTACGTAACGTCCCAGTAGCAATGATTCCCAATCTTCAACCACTCTATGGGCTTTTCAGAAATACGAGTACAAAATACCGAAATATCTTTCGATAAATCTTCTGTCATTGTTGTTACTAACAGCAGTGCCACAGAACTGGTCATTCACATTGTAACATCTAACTCTCTGACTATGCATGGAGGCTCAACATCTTACGTTTACCACATTCAAACGATTAAATTACACCATCATCATCGGCAGAACAGCCCCTTTTAAGCCATAGCCTTTCTTAGCAGACTCTGTCAGACTTGCCTGTTCCGTCGAGAATTAGACCGTCCTATTTTCACTTCTTTGGATTTCGCAACAGTATATTTTTTTTTTACACAGGAAGGTCGTCGGCCTTGCGTCCAACCCCCAACCTGTAGGACCAGATCTCTGTATATATGTCATCCAGTGACAGGGTGGCCCAGTTATACCCCCTGGCTGGGACTGACAGACGACTCAACCTGTGCAAGGTGCCTACAAGAAGACGAATCAGCCACACACATACCCTGTGTGACTGCGAGGCTAGCTTATTTAAGATTTCGTCACCTGGGTCACTTCTTCATGGAACCAAGTGACTAGTATGACGCCCCCATAAATAGGGTCCTACATTTCATCCGAAACGTATGATTAATAAAGGGTTAATCAAAGGGGAAGCACAATAGATACGTTATTGTCGCGCTGGGGGGCCAAATTACTATGGCCCACCCTTACACATATACATACACATACCCCTTGGCACCGGGGTCCCTTTTCGTCGCCTTCTACGACTCTCTGAGCTACAGTGGGGGTATTATAACCGATCTCCACACGGGAGAATTAATTACATTTCACTTAAAATGCTGTGTACTGTAACCACCAAATACCATTTTACTTCCTTGGCACTATAGCCCCAGTGGGCCTAGGCCTACCTCCATGAACTTCTCCGTTCACTTCGGTTTTTCTAGATCTTACACATTCGGTAGGACTCCTTGGGCGGGTGATCAGCTCGTCGCAAGGCCTCTACCTGTACACAAACACAGAAAAACGCACACACACAAACTAAACATCCATGTCTCGAGTGGGATTCGAACCCACGATCCCGGTTTCCAAGTGAGCGAAGACAGTACATGCCTTAGACCGCTCGGCTACCGTGACCGGTCTCCAAATACCATTAAGGTGATAAAATGAAGAGGATCTGTTTGCGGCATTCATAGAAGACCTAGGCGTAGACGGAACGAGAATATTAAAGAAATAACAATATGAAATTGTGGACTGCACTCGACTAGCTCAAGACAGGGATCAGCACTGATCCCTTCTGAACACGGACATGAAACTTAGGGCTCTACAACTGCCAGGGAATTCACTGACAAGCCGAGTGGTCAGTTCTGAAGGACTGTGTGGCATGTAGTGGCATGTCTCACAAAACTAAAAAAGTAAAAAAAAAAGTAAAGCTATCCCTGTAACAGGCCGTGAAGGCCCATAGGGTTGTGAGACGTCGAGGGTCCCACATTATCTAGACAATCGGCTCAAAGATGGCGCTAAGGCTGTTAGCCTTACGTGCCGGCCGCCCTTTACCCCAACAATATTCCTGGTGCTCATTTCTGTTACAGGCTGAGTCGATCCCAGGGCCATAGTGTGGCCAGAAGGATTAGGTCAATTGAAAAAAAGTCCAATGACCTCACCGGGACTCGATTCCGCAACCTTCCGGCTTGTAGCATAGTGCCTCAACCAACTACACTAGCGCGTACTAAGTACACCAAAAACTGAAAATCAGTGGACAACTCCAGATTAGGTACCGACCAATTTTGTGAAGCGGTGAGGTTTCAGGTGGTACCCGGTTCGAATACTGGCCAGGAAGTTTTCTTCGGGGTTCTCCAGGAAAATTTCGTAGCATCAGTTCAAGTACATAACGGCCATTTCCTGTCCTACAATTTCTTTATTAAAACCGTCACAACACAACTATATTAAGGTCAATACCAATTTTGGCTCTGCTACACGTTTTCTGTCATATTCCCATCTCCCTACCTGAATCGAAGTTATAAAACTCCTGCAGCCGTAACAACACATTTAAACATCAGAATAAATCACGTAGGAAGTCTGAAACCATGAGCCATTACG